ATGTTGAAAGAAGAAAGGGGGGGGGGAAAAAAAAAAAAAAAAAAAAAAAAGACATATCAAGAATGATATGCTTTCAGAATGAACCCTCCCCCACCAGGGTGGACCTGAGTTTAGATCTATATTCAGAACCGGGATGCTATTTTCTGAGCTGAAAAACCACCACCCTTAGCTGTTCTAAGAAGGAATCAGACATATTAGGGGAGCAGGTACAAGGAGTAAATTGGTGTTATATACTTATCCTGAATCCGTTGCCGCTGCTTTCTGGACTCAGACTTGTGTCCTGACGTGCTTGCATTGCAACACTGTACTATGAAGGCAGGCATGTATAAACCAGTTTCTGAAATCGGTTCTGTCACTTGTAACTTCTGGTGCTCACTATGCACCCCCCTCTGCTCACACCTGGGCCAAGGGGTGTTCTGTTAGGTATCCGGGCCCTAAGATATATGTGTGTAATTTAAGCTTATCTGTGGACAATGGCTTATAATTACACACCAGGAATTCAGTTTCTGACATGTTCAAGAACTTATTTGCTTCTCAAACAGTTCTTTTTCTAAGATGCTGCTAAGCCACCCTTGCCCAAGCAACTTTTATCTGTCTCAGAAGAATTTTGCTGAATCACATACTACCTTGTGAATATATCAGTCTGAATGCTATGATGTGATCTCCTCCAAGTAGCCAAGAATAAATGGAATCTTAGTATTCTCCCACCAGAGATCAGCAAACGCACTGATAAATCATTCTGGTGGCTTGCCTTTTTCAGTCATAAGACAAGAATACATTAGTTTCACACAATAGCATTGTTCAGGGATGGAATGATGACTATCTAGTGAAGAATAACAAGCCTACAGCTCCATCTGGTGAGTCAGCTAGCCGGTGACCTTGGCATACTGGGATTAAAATTATAAAAAAAACCCCAACACTTAATCGAACTACTCACACAGTCTGCATTTCCAGGATTTATTTGCAGAATAGAAGAAACAAATAGGACACTAATTCTCACAAAATCCTTAGACGTTACCTCTCAGGCCTGTTCTATTTTTACTCATTGGCAAAGCCCAGAAAGTAATTTTAGAAGAAACCTCCGTGCTATACTAAGTGAGATTCCATTAGATAGTCCCGCTGTACTAAAAACTTTATAGTAAACTAGTAGTACTAATTTAAAAAAAGAAGGGAAAAAAACCTGGTTCTAGTTCTAGCATCAGAGATTTAATCGGTTCTGGACAACAGAAGAGAGCTCAATGAAAATATTTAAATGTTGAAAACAAACATTGCAAATATCCTTTCTGCTGTTCTCCTTTGCTCAGCAGCAGGAAGATATATTTAACATAAGTTTGTTTTTCAACTCAGGGAGCATGTAGTGTTCTTATACACAGTGCTTTTCATCTTTAAAGCCTTTTAAGACGATTAACTCTCACATCACCAGGAGAAGTAAGCCAGGCATACTCATGTTGTAGGAGAAAAATGTGTCCAATACTAACACAGGCTCAACATCCAAAAACGGAATTACAACATGTTGTGGCTGCTAGTCCTGCATTCAGATGCTATTAATTCTAAGTTTGAAATAACTTCCTGAAATGTTCATTTTCAGCAGTGACATATTGCAACATTCTCTCATGAAGTATTTTCTGGCAGTACCTATGGTTCAGAGTAGCATGCTAGATATACCACTTGTTGTCAGCATTGTAGTCTCAGCTGTAGGACCAAAGGATGAAGCAAGCACTCAGAAAATGCTTTTGCTTTGAATCTTAATTTTTAGTTACAAACTTCTCTCCTGTGCAATGGCTGAGAAAGATTTAGTTCAGCACGACTAGAAGGTGAATTTAGTACTACACGTATCATCATTTTATCTATCTGGACTTTCTTCTTTGTTCCTTGCTATAAAATGCTAATAGCTTCTCACCTCCACTCTTCCCCCCTCTCCACCTTCACTAACTCTTAAGTACAAAAACCCCAAGCTATTGCTTTTTCTTTCATTGTGCTGGATTTGACATGGTAGATATCTTTGTTCTATGATAGATGCGTATTTTACAGAGACCCCAACCCTTCTCCAGAGTGCTATCTACACAAAAAGTACCACACTGCTATTCAGGATAAACACATTAATGTAAATCCAGATCACACTATTTTAGCTGTAACTCCAAAAATGTACTGTTGCCATTTGCAACAAATAGTTGTTTTAAAAAAAATCTTCCCCAATTAGCATGCCTGTAAGGAACCTCTCACAGCAAAGGGCAGGTGTGCAGTAATTTCTGAAGAATAAAAAAGTGTATTTCTTCCAATACTTTCTCCATTTCCTATTACATGGAAAGAAAGCTCTCATTCCCATTTTTATTCAATCTTTCCATCTACAATCAGAAAGAGAAATTCAGAAGTATACAGCATATCGTTATGGATTAGAGGCATACAAGCTCTTCTTGGCCAGCTAAAATAGGCAAAGGAATTTGCAACATTACTGTACTTAAACAGCAAGATAAGACTAAAAGAGGAAGGGCATGATCCATTAACAGAGCAATGGTCTGACATTCTAACTATTTTTAGCCTACTCTAAAAGCAGAGCTAGAAATGATTTCATAACTGAGTCACTCAAAATAGGATATACCATCTTAGAGCTCAATTTTAAAAATCAATTTATAGCAGTCTTATTTATTCCTCTCCACCCTATATTACAAAATGTTTGTTAAATCAGTTTTGTTATACTGAGATAAATGTGCCAGAGTACCACTGAAGTTACCACTAGAAGTAAGCAGTGTCCTGTAAATTAAAAGAACATTTTGAATATACAAATTCCTGTATGTCTTGATTTATCAGTATTTCTTGATACTGACAAATACAAAAACATCACCATAAGGTAAACAGACTCAATTTTAATAAACCATTCTGATTTTAATCTGACAACTAGTAGCCTTCTTACAATCTATGAAAGAGTAACAAAAATCTAATGCCTAACATTTTCTTAGCTCTTTAATGGACTAGAATTTTTGAGTTCTAAGTAACAGGTCAAAGACAAAGTGCATGCACATGAATTCCCCTCCCCCCCCTTTTTTTTTCTTGTAGTGCAGATAGGTATTATGAATACATGGTGTGAAAGGAGATAGGAAAAAAAAATCTATGCCCATAGTAAAAAATTTTTAAAGGGTGATTTATAAATAAGTGCAGTATGAAAAAGTTAGTATAGTAGAAAAGGCCAGTATTCCTATTCTCCAAGCTACACAGCATTAAATTAGTAACTAGAAATTTTGAAGAAGCAATTCATTTAATACTGATACAACGGGAGAAAGGAAACAGGTATGTAATTAGCCAATGAAATTGACTACTGCTTGTTATTACTGAACCATCCTGATTCAAAGCAAGCACTAAATACTGACTGACTGTAGGGAGGTGAAAGGAAACACCATGTAGAGTGTTCCCCGGTTGTCCCTTTAAAGGGCACAAAAGTGAAAAGGCTACTTGATTTGGCAGTTCCCATCCTGTGCAAGGAAATAGAAATAAGCCTGGTCTTCAACCAGAATAATCATCTCTGGAGTTTAATTTCAATAGAGTTATCTAGCTATACAAACTCCCCCCTGCCACTCCCACCCCCCAAACCACACAACCCCAACGACTAGAAGCAAAACAATGTATGTCCTTTGTGATTTTTGATTAGTGAACTGAACATACAAAACTAGATCTGGGCTTACGTGTGTTACTAATACAGGTGTTTCTGTTTAAAATAGTGTTAAGATTTTCAATCTAGAACTACATTAAAGCACAGATAAAAAGGGAACACATACATCTCAGGTTCTGTTAGTTTAACCAACAATTCCGAGTTTGCAGTGGGAGATCCTTTGCGTTAATACAGTGCTATAACTCACAGGTACACATTTACACACTAAGTCAGGCACACTGTAAACAAAGCTCCCTCTCTCAACATTGTAATGACTCATTCCATCTGTACATCAAACAGAATCAAGACATCATTTATTTTAATAGAAAGGAAATGTTTCCTATTCCATGTGGTATGTAACAGCTCACTTCTATTTAATGAGACCATGCAAGTAATCCAAGAAGTCAAGAGTGTACTTCTGCAAACTGCTTTGTAAGCACACCTGTGCTGCCCTACTGGAAGTAATCTGTATATGTGCTCATTCCATTCTACGTTAATAAACAGCAATAGTAAGGAAGGGAGAGAGAGACACTGTAATTCAATACAAGCCTCGGGAGCCATTACATTCTGATACTTAGGACTTTATCATACATCCAGTACAAGCACTCCTAAATACAGACATTATTTCTTCCTTGCTCAAGTTTTTTCCTCAACATTTGCTCTTGATGTTTTTTTCTAGTATGACTTCAAAACAAAAATAAAAGAGCATTTAATATCAGACTATTTCATGTCAATCACAACAGCAAAAGGTACAAATATTCGTGGAAATACAGTGTGCATCAAGACTGGGCTCTGAATGGCTTTACTACCACACACTGTGTATTGCATAAATCCACACTAAACACAACACTGCATACGCTTCATTTTACAAGCGAGTGCATCTGTGCATTTGTATATATGCTTCTCCATTCCTTGAAGCTCCTACACTCAAACTTTAGGCACCTGTGTGCATGAAAAAGAAGCTTTAGAAAATACAGTACTTCAATTAAGAGTGAGTGAAGAGCTGTGCTGGGCTCTCAGAAAATGGTGCTCTGGTGGTATACAAGACAAGGCTTAAATGAATCACACTCAATGTCAATGCAAACCACATATGCTACAGAGTCTGCAGGGGGTTCTGAAATACATGTGAAGACAGCTGTTACCACTGGAGTTACCCCTCTAAAAACACCTCTTTATTGCAACAGCTCTGAACAGTGACACAATTTTGTGCTATCTTGAAAGACAGACCCAGAGTTTGAGAAAGATACTTTCACCAAGCAAGAGCAGGAATTCTGTCTCCCTCACATTATGTGATTTAGCTTGGTGGTTGGGATTTGGGAATCTAAAGCACCTAAGATGTCCTCTGATGGTTTGAGAAACTTCAAAAAATACTACGGTGCTCTGTTCTAGGGCTTCAGTTTGCCCTCCTTCACTAATTGCTCATTGAGCTGGCAAAGCTGCCTTAGAAAGCCATCATTTGGGCCAATTTCTCGCTTCTGCCGGACAGTGCTCAATGCAGACTTGACATCCATATTCTGGCGAAGCATGAGGTAGGCGATGACCAGTGTAGGAGAACGGCTGTAACCCTCACGGCAATGCACAAACACTTGTCCTGCAGGGAAGACAGGTCATAATTTCAGTTATACTGGAGTATATGTTTGAAAAGCAACATGAAATAGGATATAAAGCATAATAATATTAGTCCTTCAGCAGCCTGAGAAATGTAAATTCTGACTGCTACAGAAGACATGCAGAACTTGGAAGAAAGGTGCTATCACTCTGTTAGTAGCTACACAGTCTGTCATCAAGGATAATGCAGAAAAAAAATGGTTGTATATCAAACATTCACACTAAAACATATTTGCTACTATGTTACAAAGAGTCAAACTGTGTCTATTTACTACACTTCTCCGATCTTTTGTGGTTTAGAATAAGCCTTGCCCCTAAAGATGACCAGTACCAAAGAGCACAAATAAATGATGCGAAGTTTAAAGTACACTGAAGACAGAGAAATAGGCTGTTTGTCATATATTGCATCTCTTCAAAGATGTCCAGCGTTTTGGCTGCATTGATGCCAATTCCTATACTAACTCCATGTTGGATCATAACCTGGCTACTTCTCTGGCTATTTATGAAGCCACATTAACGCTCAAGTAAATGAAACCGCTGACTGTGCAGCAACAAGAACCAGAAACATCTAATCACACCTATGCCAGCACCAATAAAATGCTTCCAGCCAACTGATTAGGGAACTCATTCTAGATATTTGTTTGGTTGTATTGGGTTTGCATGGCAAAGTTTTAATA